ACCACATTTTTAAAAACTTTCACAGCCTTTAAGACAAGTTCAAGAATAATTATTTCATGTGACAGATAAACAGATTTTAATTTTTTTAATGAGACTTTTTTTTACTTGAGTCATTTGCAGGAGATTTGTGATGGCACAGCAGTAATGAGGTTTATCAGAGATACACACTGATTCAGAATACACTGGGCTGGAGGAGGTCCTGAAGGAATCATTTTCAAATGTCATTGTGCCAAAGGGGGTTCTGGGAGGGCACGTATCATTTAATGTGTGCACTTCAGTTCAGAAAATCTTTTCTGAGTATGTGGCGATGACTCCTATTGACTGTGCTTTGATCTATGGGGAGTACCGTCAGTACCTCATCTGTGTATTCATAGACTTTATGGAAATCTGTGGAGCGTACGCTGAATGACTGAGCTCCTCCTCTTCTCTTGAAGGTTGAGTTCTGACACCCGTTGGGAAAAGCTCTTTTCTCCTGCTTGAATTTCTCAGGCTTTCGGGCTTTCCCAACGGCTCGTGACAATATGAGGTTTATAACTGGTGAGTCGACAGCTTTGCCTCCTTAATCTCTTTCTTCAGCATCAAAGGCTGGTCCAGCATCCACATCAGGGCAGACTTTATCATGGTGCAGTTGTCGATCCCTCAATCTGTTCCAACACTGTTTATGATCAAATAACCCCAAGATACTAACTCTTCCACTTGAAGCATCAACTGACTCTCATTCTGAAGGGCCATTAACCCCTGTCTCCTGATGCCACAAAGGAATTCCATCCATAAAGGGTATGAATAGAATTGTAGACAAAGGGTAGCCTTGACTAAGTCCAACACCCACAGACTGCCTCTGACTTACTGCTGACAATGCCTACTGGGACCTCACTGGTTGTACACAGACCGGAGGCTCATACTAAAGGCCCTAACACCACATACTCCCAAAGCTCCACCCACCGCGACACCACAAGGGGCACATTCATGAGCCTTCTCCAGCACCACAAAACAGAAAATGACTGGAGGAGCAAACTGTTATATGCCATCCTCTATCCCAGTGAAGATAAAGAGCTGGTCCAGTGTTTTCTGAGCAGGATAGAAGCTTCATCGCTCCTGTTTAACGCAAGGTTCAATTTGAGGACGTACTGTTTTCTGCAGAACACTGGCAGACACTTTTCTGGGAAGAAAAGTCAAATGAAATAGATTTTTCTCATACAGAATCTTTGTTGTTTTCTTTTTGTACAGAAGGATCCCTGGCAGCTTTTCCCCACAAGATGGGAGCCACTTGCAGTTTAATATTTATGCACAGCCATCCTTGATTAACTCTCCAAGTTGTTCATCTCCTCCATGTTAAATTTTGCTGCATTGATAATGCTGCTTGCACAGCATCAGACTTCTATCAGCCACCACACTGACTTAGAGAGGAGCTGACGATAAACAGCTCCCACAGTTCATCAGCCTACGCTGTGGTATGAGTGGAGCATTTATCAAGATAATGCTGCGACTCACAGCTTAATGAACAAGTCCAAGTGTGACACAAGCCGTCTCCCAAATAAGAGCTAATAGACAATACTACCCTTCAGCAGACATACTGAGCGTCTTCAGAAATAAGTGCAATCTGCCAAAAAGTCAATCTGCTCAACGATCCTTCCTTTTTTTTACCTTTTCTTTCTCAGGGGTAGAAGAACTGGAAGTGCATTTCTAGCTCTCTTTTCCAACATATATCATCCCTATCTCAAAATGGTGCTGCCTCTAAAATCTTCCTTTTTGCAAGTCGCATATGTGAGAAATTGCCGGCGTCTGATGGCATCCTATCAGGTGTGTGACGGTGGGATCGAAAAGATTCAGTTTCTGGCACCAAGTCAGTGCTTGCTCAGCTTTATTAGCAAAGGAAAAGTGATGAAAGAGAAAAAGGCATGAGAGGAAAAAAACAGTATTGAGCTATCCAAATTGAAAATTTAGTTAAGACAGTAAAAATGGCTGAGGTTAGTATTTCAAAACACTAAACAAATACCTGGGATTTTTGTCAAAACAAAAAAGGGATCATTTACTTCAAAACATAGACTTTAGTTCACGAAAACATGACAACGGCTGTCGTAACATTTTAAAGAAAGGAAACGTTAATGTCATCATTCCTGAGAACAATGTGGAAACATCTTCCTTAGTTTTTAGGGTAAGAAATTAAAAGTGTTTTTAGGACTTAAAAAAATGAAGGAAGTAAAAAATGAAGTCAAGCTAGTCCATAAATGTGTAGTAAAAAAAAAAAAAACTTCTGATTGCTATGTGGGATGTGGCAGTATAAATTAACATGTCCCCCACAACTACCCATCCAAACCATTTGTAGTCACACTTGTACATCTTCACAAAGCCGTTAAAGACAGTTTATGTGACATCATTTACGCAGCGTAATCCCAGCTACTACCTCCATCCATACCATCTCCCAGCTGGCTAATAACAATTCCCAGACATTACATTACTCTGTGAGATGTGGGCCGCTGATAGTGGTTATGATGATATGGTAACAATGGCCGCTCCCGCTGGTGTCATCCCTTTAGCTCCTCTGATGCGTCGCGTTGCTTTTATGATGGTGCAGCGAACTGAAGTCAAATGATTGGGTGTAAAGCTGCGAAGAAGTGGCGGCATTGATGGGGCCTCGGTGTCCATTGAAGTGAGGGGAATAATCTATCCAAGGGTATGATAGCACTGACCATTATTTGAGTGGCTTTGAAAGGTCAGAGGGGCAGCGGTATATAGCAGTGCCTGGAAACGGCCATTACAGTCATTCCGCTTCACTTTATGAGCCACTGTTTTTTGATTGATGGCTCCAATAGAGGATTTGGTGTTGTCATGGTGTGTATTATGGAGGATGCTCCTCAATATACAGGCTTTCCGTATCTCTAGGTGGGGATTTGTGTGTCTCCCGGTTCGTGTAAATGAGAGGGAGGAAGTTCTGGATAATTGAGTCAGTAGTCCTGTGTGAAGAGTTTCATTCATTTCTCCAGATGGGGGATCTGGGGTTGTGCACGTCCACCTGCAGCCAGCCCATCAGCTTCCATAAGCTACCCATTACTTTGCTCTCTCAGGAATGGTGATGGCATGCAAGGACTCTCTCCAATTTTGACCAAAACAGATTCAGACAAAGTAATCAACAGAACAAGAGGGCTGTTTCTCCCAGAAGATGAAGATAATGTAATTACATCCAACGAAGAGGTAAAACAAGCAAAGGGTAAAAGAAGCAGAAGGGAACATTTTTTGACTAAATGATAAATCTTAAGAGGAGAAATGGGAGGAGAGGCATGTTTTTGAAGTGGAGAGGAGGTCCCGTGAGATACAATTAACAATGTATACTGTTAGTATCTGTGTTTTTTTTCCAGCATTGATGCTCACAACAGCAGCTGAGGCAGGCACAAAGCCAGACAGACTATCTGGCTTCTGGGTTTTTCCTCTACAGACCATCCAGGCTTATGTTTTGTGTATTAAACAGCACAATACAATGCTTGACAATATCCTCCCAAAGGATCAATGTGTTATTGTTTTACAGCATGATTTTAAAGTTGATTTATTGTTGTTTTTTTGTTTGTTTTTCTTCGACACATCTCCCGTTTGATGGGAAACGTGTAAGTCTCAGGGCCTTTTTTTAAGTAACCAATGGATTCCTTCGGACCCTTCTGTTCTGCTGCTGGGTAACCTTCTGTCAGGTAAATATGTTTGCAGATGTATGGAAAATATCCCCCTTTGCTTGTTTGTCTGAGGAGCAGGGAGAACATAAGATACACAAAATAGCAGTGAAAAGGGGAGGTGCTTTTAGGATGTAGTCGCACAAATTGGCAATGTCTTACCTTTCCATCTGTAGTAGGAAGTAGTAGCTCTCAAAAAAACGCATAGAAATTCCCGTGAAACTATATGCACAGACCCAATGAGCAGTTGTTGTGTTTGTCATGTAACTTGATTGAATTGGATTTCATTACATTTGAAGAATAAACCTCCATGCAAATCTCAATGATTGCAGGTTATACATTCATGAAGACTTTTCTTAAATTATATTTGTGGTTTAGGAGAGAGCTCATGATCAAATATATTTACTTCAGAGCAGTGAGAGGAGATAAAGGAACCTCTTTAAAGATAGAGATGATCTTGAAGACAACATGGTAATTTACCAGTTGACTGCATTAATGCCAAATCCATTTTTGATGTTTTTTTTGTGCTGCAAAAGAGCTATATGAAAGAAACCAGTCTTATTCTACACAATGAAAGATCCAATTTGCTTGTTTCAAGGCGTTATGGTAAAAGGAAATAATGGCTCAGCCTGTCCCTCCATTTCAGTTTGATTCGATCTTCCCTTCTGCGTCCACACATCCAAATTGGCTTGCTTGAGTAGAACACTGATTCAATTCATGGGTGTTAACATATGGCTAAATCACTGACAGCGACTGGATCCACACATCAGCTCCAGAGCAGCAATTACTACCCAGGTTTTCCGCTCACAGCCCCTCACAGAATCAAAAGTTTCTCTTTAAGTATTTAGCAAGTAGCTGAGATTTTGACAATAGCGCTTCAAATATGCACCTGTCAGCTCAGAACACCCCGTTCCTTTCAGGGAAGCGTCTCCTCTGAAGTGGAGAGCTGTGCACCGCGTGTTTGGCTGTCAGAGCTTTCTGTCCCGGGTTATTGCTCGGTGCTGGAACAGCAGAGTCGCTTTTCAGTCTGATAAGGGGGTTTATGGGTTGTGCTCAAGAACTTGTTTGGAATGCGTTCAGTCCGTCGTGCCTTCTCTTCCGAGCAGATCCCCGGCTTATGTGATGACCCCAGCAAATTGACCCGCAGATTTATACAGCCATTCGTGGGCATACAGTCAGGGAGAATTACTGTTTGAATGGATTTCATTTTCAATTTGAATGCTGAGTGGCTGGAACATGGCCCTGGCTAAAGGAAGGCCATCGGTAATTAACTCCTTTGTGCTCTGCCACTTAGTGGATCAAATGCCTGAGGCTGAGACGACATTTAGCACTGCAAGGGACGGAGATTTCCTTCAGCTGCCATAAATGAGGAAGCATATGGGTTCAGCTGCTATGGAGTATTCCCATTCACCTCTAGCAATAATCAACAGTTATTGTCTCTACTATATCAGTAAGACTTTGATCTTGATTAAAATCTGCATAAAGACGGCAGACAATCAGGTGGTCTACAGTGCAAACTCTTTTGTCCGTCTCATGTAGGGCAGGGACTTAATAAGCAATCAGATCCTTTACTTAAAGCAGTAATAACATCATGTGAATCTTAAACAAATTACGCCTTTCAGTAAAAGTGGCCTTAGAAGGCTTTGCCAGAACAATGAGATGTCATAAACAGGCCTATAGCAAATGCACTGGATTCACAGAAGAAACTAGCGACAGTAGGCCAACTCCTGGGCCTTCGCCATGGGAACGTGTCCAACCCACATGTCAGAATTTGTAGAGCTTGAGCTGTCTGTATAACCACCAGGAAGTAATGAGAACAAGAAAAGGTAGATACATGTGGTGAAGTGGGTAGCTGAGATGCAGCACCTGTGCACAACTGGCAGCAGAGAGGCAGCTGAGAGCATGGTGAAGTATTAACCTTTCCATTTCTATGCTGTGAGACTGTATGAATATCATGCAGTGCAGGGTTTCAAGTGCTCCACCCCTACAATTTCAGAAATTACTGGTCCACCATGCATGGTGGTCATTTTTTCTGCAGTTCCGCAGTGATAAGCTGAGGATGGCAAACATCCGCCTTGCTTTTGCCTGAGGCACCTACAATCATTTGAAAGCAAACACCAACTTAGCGTACGCCTTTCCCACCAGTGTGCCGGCACTGCACTGCTAATCTTTACAACAAAGCCCCTATGGAACCTGGCCAACAGGAATCCTAAATGTGTGCGGTTCATTAGAACTGATCTGAAACCGGTCAGTCCAGGGGTCGTCCAAACATGCCCCCGGCCTTTAAGAGCAGAGGGGGCTGCTCATTCTCATGCGATATGGAGACCTTATTTGATTCACATGGTGATTGTTTGAATCATTCATGTTTGGCCAGGTGGTTAATATGGGATGGGGCAAACTGAGAATGTAGATTAATTTCTGCTTTACTCAGACTTCAGCCAGAAAAGTGAATGACCGAATGACTTCGCATAAATAGACTAATGAGGCCATTAATGTAACATTTTTCATGTCCGGCTGTTCGCAAGCCTCGCATTTGCATTCAGAGGAAATACATTGAAGATCACGAACAGAGCTATTAAACCTTATTGATTAGTAAAGAATTTTCAATTAATTTCCAGCTATCCCAGTCAATGTTTCTCGTTAGCAGTCATAATTATTCACATGTAGTCAATGGTCCAATTATACAAAACTGGAGAATGGTGCATTGTGCTGACAAAGGATTGGTAGTTCAGTTGTGTTTTTTCTTTTTCAAATTATAATACCAAGGCTGCTTTTCTTCTAGAATTTATCTTGATTTAAGTAACAGATACATGCTTATTTCAGGGCACACGTTTCAGAATTATACAAACATCTGTATCCCCTGTAATAGTATACTGGTTTTCCAACTTGTGGATTTCCTCTGCAGGCCATAACAGACATGCAATTTAAAATAATTATCCAACAACCTGCAGAGGTAAGAAAATGCATTTTCCCATCCAGTTTAGCTGAAAGATCAAAGGGCACCTGTCAGAAACAGACAGCAATGGCAGAAAAGTGATAATCCTGTTGTGACCTTATCCCCTGCTGACATCCACATCCCAAAGGCCGGCTGCATGTTGCATGGGCGACATAACTCAGCACTACCCTTCAGCAAACCCCTACAAGCTCTATAGTTCATCCATTAAAAGTCTGACAGTTTGGTGTCACACGGTGGCCCTGTGGAGAAGATGTGAGCTGTCACAGTTCAGAGAATCATAGCCAGCCAGCCAGCAATCATTGATACACCCCCCATGGGAGCCACTTTGCTTAGGCTAGGGTCCCCTGTCAGAGCCTGGTGGTACAGAGAGCCACAGAACATGCCCATGCCAGCGATCAGGAGGGCTCCAGCCTGCAAAGAAGAGACAATGTTAGCAAAGCATCAACCGATTTAAGTACCAAATTGTACCCATTACCATCTTCTTTTAATCAAGACCTTAAAAACGCACAACTCATGGGTGTAAAATAAAAATATGCCCTAATGTATTCATAACATTGTTTATCTATATTCTGCAGTCAGTTCTACCAAATGCATAACCTAAACACACAGTTCATATACATACATTCTTATTGATACATGCTACTCTGATAGCGCAAACAAAGGAGTGTTCTCAAAGACTTCCACAGACAGCAGATGCATCCATGACTGGCTGCCTCAGCAGATTCAGCCATACAGCTTGACAATAAAGAAGCATCAGCATTATCTGCAAGTAATTCTTCCAGCGGCTGGTGTGGATGATACTGGTGTCACTGTTAATCAGAAATAAATTGCACAAATTTGATTTGCACTGGAAACATTAGGGAGCTTTTGCCATCCAGAAAGAAAAAGGAGAGTTAAAGTAGCTAACGCCAAAGCAATGGGCCTAGGCTGTGAAACAAATATATTGGAAGAGACGGAGCAGTGCGGCAACAGCATCAGTGGACACATTTGGAAAAATGAAAGCAGCTACTCAGGAGAAGACCCTCATCACTGCAAAGCCCGGTGCAAGAAATCAAACTCAGGGGCCGAAAAACTTGCTGATTCAGCCTTGAGCTTTGTACTATGAGTCACGTTTCAAAGACATTGTATGTTTTTAAAGACATAACGCAGAACAAAAGTAGCTGGTCAATCGAAGTTGTTCAGTGGATAATTTCAACGTCCAAAGATTTCAGAACTGAAGGCCAAAATGTTTTGTTCCACTTTAAACAGTAATTTTGGCTCAAGGATCACGTTTCATTATGTTTGAAGGATAGCAGCTTCTGTGGTACACTGGGCCTCTGCGGCTGAAGTGCCTCATCAGCCACACAGCTCTCCATTTACCTTTTTTCTTTCATTACGATTCCAAACTGGATGGTTGTTAATGTTGTTCAAATTGTTTACACATGACCCGATTTTGAAAGCATCCATGTTCAACCTTTTCATCCCCTTACCATGATGCTTAATGAAAAGTGCAAACTATTCTCACACAAAATGTACCAGCAACTTGGCTGTGTAACTATTCTGATGTTCTTGGTCATTACATGAATAAACATGCCTCTCTGTGTGCAGATTATGCTAAAAACAAGCATGATAAACATGGGGATTATGTTCACACATTTCCAATTCCTCTTTTACATCTTAGAAAACTAAAACATCACAAGGCAAGAACAGTGCTTTGACCTGGCATGAAAACTGTGTGGTGGTTCATTCTAAATATTATAATCATTAGCAATAAATGGAGTGGTTTTATACATTTTTGGCCTGTGCAGTGCCTTACTGATGCACAGCTGGAACATATGTTCCATTGACATTTTTAAAGTGTAGTTTTCAGCATGGTGAAAGTTACAGTAGAGTGATTCCACAAAACTGGTTCCACTTCAAGAATACCAAACGATCACACATGACACTCACCACAACAGGTTTGCCAGAATGGGCAGCGCCCAACAGGGCCAGGCTGTGGTAGAAGTGGTACTTGTTGGCAGTTTCATAGAGCTGGTGAGACGGGCACACAGAAACAGAGCTGTCAGAAGAGTTCCGCACTCTTCAAGTTACACTTTCCAAAAGAAGCAACAATAATGGGATAAAAAGAAATTGTTTTATTTACATTTCTACATTGATAATCCCTCCAAGTGTTGTTATCATCACACAAAAGGAAGGCTAAGATCAGATTGGAAAAGTATCTACATTTTTCAGTTTGCACTCTGTGTAACAAAAACACATATTTTTGCTACACAGATGAACGCTTCTCTTTTCATATTGGCATGAAGGTCAACAGATATTATGGTTAGTAAAAGCTTTATCGGGAAACTGCAGCTGAAGAGTCAGATAAGAGTAACATACCACTCTCTGGTAGTCGTCGGGATCTTTGTTTTTGAAACCTGAAAAAAAAAACAACACAGCATGTTAAATTAAATGTTGCCTTATTGTTCGAATGTTACTTTAGGATTTTTAAGTAATACTGCAAGACAACCCACAGAAGCCCCAGTTGACCAAGCATCTGCACATGTCCTACTGACCCACTGCGATCATGAAGTCCACCATGTCAAACGAAGGAGGCGAGTCACCTTGATTATGAAACCGTTTCATTTACTAAAATACCGTAAAGTTAAGTGGACCGTTTGTACGCCGAATTAAAGATCTGCCAAATAAACATAAACTGACCACGTGAAATCTACCGTTGTGTTTGCGTAACAGTGTTTTGACAGAGGAACCTCTAAATTGGCATATTCTGCAGCGATGGCTGCAACTGTCAACCTTCCTAATAACAGTTTCCCTGTGATATTCTTCAGCACCATGCAGAATTTATCTTTTTTATTTCTTACCATGAGCTCCATACGCTCCTGCTCCTACCGCCGAGGCTCCTGATAGAGCTGCTAACCTTCGTACCACTACAGACGCTGTCATGTTTTGTAACTTCTTGAATCCCGTAGAAAAGAATGATGGCGGTGCTGCCTTTACTGTCCTTTGGTAAATTCTCACTTATGGAGCCTTTTATGAGACCAATTTCCCAACGTGGTGTAAAGTGAACCAGCAACATTGATAATTAGAAGAGATGCGTGAGATGATGTCTTAGCTGCAAGAAACGTGCACATGGTTTTTCAGGTATTAGGTTTTGCTCATCAAAACAATTATATAATTATTAAAAAAATACACAAGTGACAGATAATATTGAAAGTTGAATTCCTTTAGTAACTATTACATAATCGAACACAGCCTATGCCTCCCACACGTGCTGCTACTAAAATAGTTGCTGAGTCTTAAGTGCTCTGAATAACAACATTTCTGCAGGTCTGTAAAAGCAGCAGTGCCCTGGAATCTGCAAGCGCTTCGGACTTCCAATTGAACCAAAATGGCGTCTACCGCTGCACGGTTTATATCCACAAGGCAAATGTTTTTACTCAGCCGAGTAGATCTGACACCGATATGAAACTTGACTTGGGCAGTCATTGCAATGCCATTGTGTTTCATGCAGCACGACTAAACTCCTACTTGCCAAAGCAATCTTAGACAAGAGCAGACAAATCTAATTAGGCGCAAATGGATTTTTTAAATATAGGATAGCCAGTCCACGTAAATAAACCAGTGAGACCTCAAAAGCTGTCATTCGTAAAATATGGCTGAGTAGGCATGCCAGAGAGAAAAGCTAAAACTCTATATACACTAATTATCATTAAAAAAAAAGGTCCTTGTGCCTCTAATTCCCATTTTCTAAAATATTTGGAGTAACATTAAAATAAAGACACAAACCTCACTATATTTCTGCTTTTTGCATAACAAGAGAATGAATGTCAAACTTCCTTTCAACGATTTCTGAAATGTTATTTAAATTTATTTGATTGACCATATTGTCACTTTAAATGATATTTTATTCCTCTTCCATTTTAAGACAATAGTAAATATCTCTAGTGAATTATCGTTCATATTTCACGTGTTTTTCGATCAGTAAAAGTATTTGGGGGAATGGTTCACGTTGATGTTTGATGTGAGTAATCCCTGTAGAGAGCCTACCAAAAGGGGGAGCTATATTGCTTTCTCATACACGAAAGTTTGTGTGTGTGAGCGCGTGCATGTAGGGGTTCAGAGGGACTTCTTCCAATTATCATACTGAAATTACACAGGGTCACACTGCATTACTAGAGTCACCAAACCAGAGTTTCCATCCGGCCTCGTCCTTAGCTGACTTTGACAGAGCGTTAATACAATGCATACAATTAACACCTTTTAATGAACATGTAAGTAATTAAAAAATAGGCCCTGTGTTTCTCTGGTATTCAACTGTACATTCAACAGTCAGGGCATGTGCAAGCATTTCTGTTCCACACCATTTCATTACTAAACTTTCTCTTTTGGCTATTGTATTCAAAATACAAAGAGAAATATAAAAACCTTCACATTTCACAAAAATAAATGTTTTTAAGAAATGCAACATTTCTGAAGAAGCAGTAACTTCTTCAGCTACATAGAGACTGGAACAGGCCATTATCGTTTGCTGTTTCTACTGCGTACCAAAATGATCAGTTCCTTGAATCTAAGAACACTTTATCCTTTCATTTTTGCTTTCCCTCACATATCACTCTGAGACCCAATTTTGGCTTTTGATTTGCACCTTTTTGTGTTTAAGTTAAGTGGAAAAGCAGAAAGGACCTGGGGGACCAAGACCATCTCAAGCTAAGTCTAGTAAAAAAATAGATATTCTTTATTATTCACAAATCCCAAAAAAGTGGGATAATGTCTTTCTGATTTGACCTGTCCAGGTAGTAAAGATGCACTGACATGTCAGTCTGTCTTGAGTTGTTAATTACAATTGCCAGTTGGCTATTCAGTTTATGAGGGTTTAACAGGTTTTTTAAAAATCTGGTCTAAGGTGATTTATACATCTGATAACGTTTTTGACTTTCTCTACAACTGTTGTACTCAACTCCAGAGTTCACCAGCAACTCTTCTGCACTCTGCACAATGCTGTTTTTGTTTAAGAGGACTGATTGGAGTGGTACGCCCCAGAAACAAGAACTGACATTGAGCAGTGGCGACTGATTTGTGTTTTATTGTCATTCCAAGCAAGAAGTGTTGTTTCTTTTATGAAAAAAAGAAGAGATAGATAAATGTTATTGCACTTTCAGAAATATTGCTTCTTTTTGCAATTTGTTGCCGCAGTAACTTTCCTTTCGTGCCACTCTTTGCATGCAGGGTGGAATACAGATGGATGCTTGCTTCCTTTGCTCACCATTCACTCGCATGGGAGATTTTCGTTATGGCCCACGGTAGATGGGGCGGCAAGGACAACAATAAAGCATGATTTTACATCTTGTTGCCAGAGACACACAGCAAATTATCTCCACGTCCCAGCAGCAGTTTGCTGTAAGGTTCTGTCAAGAGCCAGCATCTATCTCACTTCAGTTGGCTGGCCTGCCTGTCCTCTCATCTGCTCTCCAGTGACTGCTCTTCTGTGTGTACATTTCTGGGTGTGTTCGAGTGGAGGTGTGTGCGTGTACGTGTCTGATCTCCTCAGATTGTTTGCCCCTGGCCTGTCTTGTAGTGATCGAGCTCCCGTCCGATGCAACATCCCGCGAAAAACACAATAAGAAGAATGTTGCCTGCTTTGAAGAGAAAACAGCGGTGGGAGCAGAAACACTGTGTTGTAACTTAGACATTCACAAGAATGTTGCTGCCTCCGAACACTTTATATGACCTTTCTGTGTGCTTTCTGGCATGGCTAAGGCCAAACAACATCCATGTGCACCATTTCCAACACTGTGTACACACCTGGGATCAAGCTTTTTTGTCAATATATTGCATTGACTTATTATTACTGTTCTGGTTTGCTTCGACTATCGAATTTCCTATTCTTGTCAGTCAAGTGGATCTTTGGGGTTTTTATTTGTGAGGATGCCTGTCTGCTCTGCACAAATTTCATGGGAAAGCAAATACAGTGAAAACTGGCTGTCTCATCAACATGAAAATGAAGCTCCTGCTTTGTTTTTCTTCGGCAGGTAACAAGACAGATTGATACACCACAGTAAGACCCCAAAGGCGTCATTATATTGAGAAACAAACTCTGCTATGAGTAACGCTTTGTGAAATGGGAAGCATGCATTCCAATACTAAAAGGAACGTCAGTGTGTTTCATCCATTTTCTCCAATCGGGCATTCCGTTTCAAAAAGTCAGAGCCGCTATTCCTTGAAATAATCATTCTTTTTAGTTCTGAAAGCATCGGCTGGTGGTTGGCCTGTTTCTTGGCCTGATTCAAAACGAATCCATCTCGAACGTTTTCCATTAACCTTGATGCGTTGTGATGGTTGTAGCCTTTCACTGCTTTCAGTTTCCATTGAGAAGCTGCGACTGCAGCCAGTTATTTTATCCGTGAGGGCAATTGCGACTCTTCAAGATGTTTAGTTGCAAATGTGCTTATCGTGGCCAGTGTCACAACTGTTCCCGCTGCTCCTCTCCGTCATTACATCCCTTTCAGCAAAAAAGGAATGGATTGCGGTAAAGAGAGAGGAAAGGCTGAGAGAGACAGCAGAGACAGGGCCTGTCGAGTGACATTCTGTCCGAGAGTCCAGGCCAGTGTTTGCTGGCGGTGACAGCACCAGTCTCTGCTATCACACGGGCTGGCAGAGCAGCATCCACCAACCCCGCTTCAAATCAGCCTCAGGTACATCAAATCACGTGCAATAGCATTTGTCTGCCACAAAAAAAGAAAAAAGATATCATTTTAATGAGGATGGAATGGCAAGTTGTCTCAGATGCTGGAATTATTATCTGGTGTTTCAAACAATCTACCTTTTATCATCAGCCTGTTCAAGTCCCGTCATCTAAAGACGTTCATATTCTCTAATTATTTGTTCACATCAGGTATGCCTGAGCATAAAATCCCTAAGATCCTTACAGACGCAGTCGTATTCACAAATTTGCAGATACAGCAACCCCCTTATCCCCCCCCACCCTCCACGACAAAGCTAACACACACACACGGCGAGCATAATTAGCACACTCGTTAAGCTCATCTGCATCTCTCTTCAAAGGAGATCAATGCAAATGGAAAGGATTTAGCCACTGGCAGCAATTAGGCCAAAAAATATCCTAGCTGGGGAAACCTGCTTACAGGAGGGTTGTTTCATCATGGGGAGTAAACGCATTTTCTACCCTTGTGCTGTGCATATAATAGGACCAAATCAGAATGATTTTGTTTGCTCTTGTGTCAAATTAGGTTGTGTTTAATCATAGTTGGTACCGGCCCCTCTAGTGATCACATAATCTGGGGCTCTATAAGGGAGACTGAAGTTTCATCAGAGAAATGCAAGGCCATCACTAACGCACTCCACCAACAACAAACGGCTTTTGCAGCTTTATAGTGATGGAAGGTATGCCGTTGCCATTTGATCTTCAATGACGTTCAAAAGCTGTGAAAGACACATAAATGAGCTGCACTGTTTCACTGGAAGACGAGCTTAAACATTGGAGCTGCAGCTTAGTTCCACCCAACCCTGAGCACACTGTCCTGCAGCTGTGAGAGCCAACCAAGTCACCAACTCTGCAAATAATCGAAGACAGAACCAGCGGTTTCTTTATTTCTGCTGTTACATTTGCTTGGAACAACAGTGAGAGGCCTTTGCAAGAAGCTGAATTTTCCAAAAGCAATTTGCACTTTTTAGATGAGCTCTCACACATTTACAGAAAGTGACAGACTTGGAACTGAGAGCAAACCGCTTAATTAGCTGTATCAGATGTATTGTTCTCATGTTTTTTCTTGGGTTTTGTTTAAAAGTTAGTGTGAAAAGAGTCTGCTGTCTGCACGTCTTGTAAGTGCGGATGCTTTTTTTTTTTCAAATGGGCCTGAAGGACCCTGCTGTCAAAAACGCATACTTATTTTTCAGGATGTCATGTCAACTAAGCAACCAATCAAACGGCATGATGTAACGTAACAATCGTGTTGCAAAAAGATTTCTTTTGTCTTACACCATGGCATTTTAAAAAATGTATTCCTTACAGAAAGCATCTCAACCTTATCGTGTCCATATCTGCATTTCCCAATGTTTTTCGTATAGTTTGCCCATGTATGAATGTTAAAAGGCTTCATGTTGGCTGTGGAGCCAACAGTAATGTATTTATCTACATTTATCCTTGCAAAATTGATCAGGTTCTGTAGCATTTGTGTGTGTGAGGTTAAAAAAAATCAGGCGCATCTTTATTAAAGTTGTTACGCGACGTCTACTGCTAAAATATTGGCGTCATTGGATTTGCTGCTGTGACTCAGGTCGTCCAACTCGTTCCCCTTACCTTGTTTACTCTTCCCATCTTCAGGCTTTATGACTGTGCTTTCACACCTCTA